GCGCGTACGCGCAGCCGGGAAGCCGCGGGGCGACCGAGGGCTCCCCACTTTGCAGCCCTACTAGGGATTTTTGGGGACGATACTCCTGCTTGCCTTGTATTTTTGAGAAACAAACCAAGCGGTGTAGCCCAGGGTTTACGCGTCTTGAGCGCCTGCTTGAGAAAGACCCAACCAAACCAACCGATGCCCGCGCCAAGGCGGCAGGAGCGCCGTGGCTGCAGCCCATCTCGCAGCCCTGTTTACCAACAGCAACAACGGGTACAAAGGTCTGACTAAACACCGCGAAGAGGGCTGCGCAATTAAATATTTTCTAGGCAAACGTGGCCTTTGTCACACTTAAGCGAAGCCCGGACCAACACCTTTAGTTATATTGTACGTAATGGGCCCGGCCTCCCTCAAAGAATAAGCTATGTTGCTTGGCCACTTGGCAGCAGCTTGGAAAGAGCCACCACACGGCTGCAGTGTAGATCTTGCCTGTTCCCTTGAAGCCATTCGGAAAACATTTTGCCCTGCCCTAGTCATGCGTGTATTGGCTTGTGCTGAAGAATTAGGCCTGCTGCAAGCTCCAAAGGTTGTGGAAGGCAGCCCTGAACGGGGAGCACAGGAGGAGCGAAAACGCCAAATAGGATCCAGGGGCTTCCCAGGCCTGCTGTGTCTCACTCCACCTTGTGAAAAGCCAGCCCTTTCACTTGCATTCACAGATGCACGAGTTGTGACCGACCTGTGGTAGATGGTGGTGGTTAGCAGCGGAGCGAGTGGGGGGCGTTGGGGCGTGGGCGCTACAGCCGCAGGCGTGCTGTTTTTCAGGAGCGGGTGCTGAAAGGAGACGTGCTGGGAAATAGGTTCTCCAGCTTCAGTTCAGGGCCAGCGCTTATCCCTGCATCCGTCCAGGGTGAGTGAGTCCTCACTGGGTAGTCCAGTGTGGAGCTGTATTGCGTTGCAGGTAAAGATAGCACACGGTGAGAACCCCCCTCCGGCTCACCTGCCCTCTATAACTAGTTGTGGCCCGTGGTGGAGGACAATCAGCTACTCTGTGCTCATGCAGTCTGTGTGTGTGATGGGGCCTGTCGAGTGCAGCTCTCCTTTCCTAGGAGAGGAAGACTGCCAGGTGCATCTTTAGAAACATCCTTCTGTTTTAAGGGGCAGTAGCGATTTCCCGGCAGGTCAGCATGTGTGCAGAGGGAGATGACTATGGCCAAGTCGCATTCATGGAGCTTTTCCAGCTCCACCTTGATCTCTGGGATCTCTGCCAATTCACGAGCTGATTCTGCAGTTCATTTTTTTGAGATGTGGGTTGGTTCAGTCACAGAAGGTTTCCCTTGTTGCGGTTTCTGCAGGAGGAGGGAGTTAAGTTGGCCCAAGATTGAAAGCGCTTGTAAGCCCATCTGCTACAAGATTACTAGGGTAGTGGGGCATCTTGCCTATTATCTGTGTTGCTGACTTTGCTGTAGGCATGGTTTGTGTAGTGTAGTAAATGAGGTAAAATGTCCCTTTTTTCAAAGGGGAGAGGGAGAGTTCAATATATGCATAGGGTAATTGTGCTATCTGTGAATAAAATGGAAAAGACCTCAGAGTTGCAGAGGGTGTTTTAATTGGGTTAACCTGCAAGCCCTCCTACCATTAAAACTTAAGTGTAGATTTCATACTTGATGCTTATTGAGGCCTAATCAAAATAGTACTGCAGCTGACTAATTTTGCAGTTAAAATCAAAGCATTTCTTAAAAATAAGCTAGAACATTCGTTATACTTTTCATTTGCAAAACACATCTAGAAATATACTCAAAATTAACTTTCAGCAAAGGATGCTGTCACCTATTTTAATATGAAAATTAATTGCTACCAAATTTCTATATTAATATATTCAATGTGTAATAGAGAACCACCTGTCCCTCAGTGGCTATGAGGTGTGCAGATACTGGAGAGACCATACGAACATGCCCTGCAGTGAACAAAAATGCCTTGAGAATTTGGGAACTTTGAGGGCACGGGGCTCCTGCAACTCCTGGTTAATTTTGATAAACCAGTCCTTGAAACAGTAGTTTATTTGTTTTATTGCAAAACTTGTGCTTCAGGTGCTTAAGGGGAGCACTAGTTAGAAATTGGAAAGTCCCTGGCCTTGGAAACGTCTCCTTCTGCAAAATAAAGCTAAGCTGAATTTGTATATACTTCTCCTTTGGTTCTTAGGCTGCTCTGCCAAACCCCTTTCAGTAACTGGTAATGCTGCCCCTCAAAGAGATTCAACCAAAACCTAAGAAACTTGTGCCATTCAAATGGTGGGGTGCGGTGGGGAGCACAGACAAAATAAAACACCACTTCTTCAGTTTGCAGGCTGAAACAAGCCTGTGTCATTAGATTGTTAATCCAGGAAATTAACTTGACTGGCCATTTCTTGGAACCCTGTGAAGCAGCAGAGTTAGAAGAATTACCAGTGGTATCAGAAAGATTAACTGAAAAACACCGAGGCTTTTTCTTATTTATTTATTTGGTACCACATTAAAACCCTGTTTGTAATGGCTTGGTGGTGGTAATACTCGGTAGTCTCTCTTACTGTGTTTCTGCAGACAGTAAGAGATTTGGAGTAATTCCTTTGGCAATTACCACACCACAGAGCCAAGTGGCCTCAAGCAGAAGAAAAACTGAATGTACAGCCAGAAGTGGTATTACTTTTAAGCCCAAGCCCTCTCAGGCGATCGAGCCAAATTCCATTCGTAACACCTTATTTGCTCCCACTTTCTGTCTCCTGAGATCACGTTTCCCGCATGCGACTCAAGATGGGGAGATTCAGTGTAAGCCTGAAGAGAAGAGAGTGTGACCCAGAAAGACGGAGGAGCCTCTCCCCAGGGACTTGGAGGGGAGAGCTCAAAGTGTCTTCTCTTTACCCTGGCTGGCCAGAATGGAAATGCAGTCTGGGGAAAAAGGGTGGCGAGCTCAAAGGGAACAACCTGGAAGCCTTTGTGGATTTCTTACAGTTGGACGTAAATGTGCAGACTATAATGAGTATGAAGGATGTAACAGTTCCCAGAGGGGGCTCTTCACTGCAGGTGTTAGCCGGTGGAAGTGACTACAGGGTGTGGAGGTGCCTTCTTAATGGGGGGCAAAAAAAAATGATCAAAGCCCTACATGTACCTCCCTCAGCAGGACCTGGATTTAGGAATGGAGTAGGACTTAGAAATTTAGGTTTTGGAAATGCCTTGCTGTTAGCAGATGTTGCATTTATTTAGGTGAGGAAGATGAAAATGAATGAATGAATGAATGAATGAATGTCTGTTCTGGTGGTCTCTGGATGTGTAATTTAGAACTTAATACTCACCTTGTTCTCCTTAAAGAGTGGGGGTGAGCATATCTGTCCAAGTTAACCTGTAATCCTGTTGTACCAGGGCTATGCAGCAGAGATCTGTTAGCAGGGTTGAGATCTTTGTTAACCTGGAAGAAGAGATTTTATTCCTTTTTTTTTTTTTTTTTTTCCCAAAAATATATTCTGCCCTCACCATGCAGTGTTTTTTCTTTTCTCTTATTGACATTCTTTTCTGAGCATCAGCAGTGTAAAGGTAATTACAGCTGTACCCTGCACAGCTGAGGTCACCATATGCTCTTAAATAGCTGCCATGATGCAGAGTCCCTGAAAAAAATCAGGGGCGTTGTAATTTTGTGGACCCCATCTTCACCACCAGCAGAAGAGGTAACTTGCATTCTGTCCTGGAGAGCAGGGTGGCTGGGCAGGGCTGGATCTCCCCTGCACTGGGAGAAGCCTGGCTCTGTGTCTGGGGCCACACAAATGGCCCCATTACAGGTTTTCAGGGCTTTTAGAGTTTCTCTAGAGCAATTTTAACTGCTCTGTCTCAGACTCCATTAGGGAAATGTGATGGTAGTCATGGGGGAATATAAAACTGCAAGGACTGCCTGGTGAGCTTAAAGTTGCATTTTTATAAGTGTTATCTTTAGGGCATAAAGATGGGATACATGCAAATAGGGATATAGTCGTAGTTCTTGATGTTCTTGTGGCAGGGTTTGTGGTACAAGGGCTGGGCCCTTGTCCCTGGGGAGTGAGGCAGTGAACAGGAGTAAGTCCCTTGTCTCTCCGGGAGAATCCAAAGAATAGAGCCCTACCCGTTCCAGGTCTGACTTTGAGCAGAAACAGAGAACTGTTTCGGGGATGTCAGAGGTCCCCCATCCATGTAATATTTCTGATTGCTTTGAAAATGGCTGACCTGTCATTGACTGCTTCTCTGACAGAGATGCTCTGTGGCACTGAATCCAGTGCTAGATCTCTTGATGTGTGTGCTCTTGTCTTCTAATACTATTATAGGGGAAAGTGTATGCACCCCATGATTTACATGAGCTTAGCTGTCCTGTGTGCAAGCTTTTTCTTTTTCTTTTTAAAATTTTTATTACCATAATGTTAGGCTATAGTACTGGAGGGGGAGGGGAATGGAGCCAAGGTGCTTAGAGAAGATAATTCTGACTCTTTAATCATGTAGGTGTTAAATAAGAAACTGTTATAACAGAGGCCAGTCCTGTGCCTCTTGACTGAGAAACCTCATAAGGAGCTTTTCCTCCACTTTGGAGGGAAGTGTTCCTTGGTGATACTGCAGAATAATTTCTAAGCGCTAGGAGTGACTGAGCAGCATATCCTCCCACCTCTCCATCCCATATTTTGATCTGTTAAATGTGAACTTGAAGGATAACTACAGCACCGTTTGTTGCAGCATTAGCACTTGTGTACTGAAGTGATGGGTGCGCTGAGAACACCTAAGGCTTTGCTGAGTGCCGTTGCACCTTTTGCCGAGGAAAGGGAAAGGCCTTTCATCTTTGCCTGATGGAGGAGATCTGGGTTTAAAGAGCTGTTTGCGTTAATACGATGAATGCTAGTGCACTATAGCACTTGGCTAATGACTGAGTTGTATTTTGGCTCTCTATTCCTTTTGTCTTTTTTCCTTTTCTGTTTTCTAAAGGTGACAGGGGCCTGTATTTGAAAACTGACATGTGTCCCTGCCTGTGCTGGATCACTGGCTGGTTCAGTTTTGACTGCTGTGGGTATGGGAAGATGCTAAAGGCGGCGATTGTGATACTGGGGGGGTTATTTAAACAAGTAAATTAGATAAAGGGTATTTGCATGTTAAATAGTTAATTCACGCAAGTAACTGGGTCTGGCCCAAGCAGAAAGGGAGCTTTCTTTTATTTTGTTGAAATTAGAAATTCTCTCTTCGTAGGGAAATGCCCCATTTCGAGCAGCTGGTCTCAGATTTTGGTGATGCCCTCTGAGGCTGTTGTTAGCTCAGGAACCCCGTCCCCAGGAGTCTAGTGGTTCTTGTTAGGCTTTAGCTGTTGCTGGTTTCTTGCCTTGCCTTGAAGGGCTCAGACAGATATTTTACATCCCTGACTCCAGAGCTCAGCCCGCCGAAGCCTGGTGAATTATGCTGGCTATGCATGTGGCTTGGGGGCAAGGAGTTGGCTGTGTTATTCATAGGCGCTCCCTTCCAGCCTGCCAAAGAGCAAACTGGGTACTTGTCTACAAAGGCAATTATTTCACAAGAAAGTTGCTGTAGGGAGCAGCAGGAGCCAACATGGTTAATAGAGAGAAAAGATTTCCCTTATCTTTTTTTTTTCCCTCCTTGTGTGTATGTCCCTCTTAAACCATTTTCAGCCTAATCTTGCCTCTGAAATAGGTCTGCTGCTTGCTAGGCTAGACTCGCCCCTAGCATGAAATGTTAACTGCATCAGGTTATTGCAGGCTGCTGCACAGCAGCTGGTGAGGAAGAGGCAGCAGACTGCGCTTCCAACCTTGTCTGGGCAAACATCAACTCTCTGCTTTCCACAGCCGGCGAAGTGGAGGGGAAGGGGATGGGGATGGGTCGTGGGAGCATCCTAGTGCAGGGTGTACGGGCTAAACAGTGGTTCCTGAAATCACTCCCACGTGGGAGCACTGAGGGTCCCTTGCAGGCTGCATTTCAGCACAGGTGGTGCGTGTTGCTGCCTGGATCATCCAGACATCGTGGGGGACAAATGGGAAGGGGAGACTTCACAGTGCTAAGGTTGGACTTGGAGTTTCTCCTTTTAGAAATGGAGAGCACTTCTATCTGGCCTTGGATTTAAAAGAAAAAAGTTTGATTGAACTGATAGCTCTGCCATGGGAGAGGCTCCCACAGTGGTAACTGGCATCCCTGGTGAGTGGCAGACGGCACAAACTGCGACTGGGTCAGGACTGGTCCCCAGGTGCTTCCCAGGTCTTGGGGACTGGCAGAGGGGGCGGGTGACAGAGCTTTCTGCCTTGCAGAGGGTATGAGCAGCTTTCTTCTCATCAGTTGTTGCAGCCACTGTGAATATGTTTGCTGAGCTTTATATTTGAACCCTGATGTCTTCCAGGAGAGCTGGTCATTTCAAAATGCCCATGTGGAGTTGGGGAGTATCAAAGCAAGGGTGTTTTGTTTTGGTTTGTTTTTTTTTTTTTTGTTAAAAGTAGGATTCTCTGTTTACCAACTGTCTGTGTTAAAACTTTGCCCCATTACTTCAGGTACTGTTCTCCATTGCACAGTGTACACACCTTGGGTACAAGAGCTGTCATGTAATAAGAGCGCATCTGTTCAGGAAATATTACCTACCTGACCTCGCAGTGCCCTTTTTTGTGAATTGGTGGGTGGTCAGCAACAGTGATGCATCAGTACCCATGGCCCAAACCAGCTCTGGCTACTGCCCATTGTCTCTAACAATGTAGTTTTTGACAGACTGAAGGTTCTTTCACCCATCACGTGTGGGTCCTCTTTGTGGGCACAGTTGGCCTGGGAAGAAGACCCTGGTTTCCCCTTTCCACCTCAATGCCCAGCATGTCCTCATGGGCTCTTGCAGCCCGAAGGCTGTGCATGAGGTGCAGAAGGAGGGCATGGTAATTAAGGGTCTTGACCTGGGATGCCGCAGCTTGGACTGAGTAACGCTTAGTGATCTACAGGGTCAGGCTAAAGTGACCCGTAAACAACCCAGGGGTGCTTATTACGTGTGCCGGTGCTGGGCCTGTTACATCACCGAAAACGGCGTGCTGGGAGCTTTTGGCATCCGATGGAGCTGAGTGAGCACAGTATTCGAGTTGCCAAATTTGAGTTTTGAGGACAATGAGGCTTTTGCTTTGTCCCCCTAGTTAAAGCAAGCAGGTTGCTCCCTTAAATGGTGAGTCCCGGGGATTCTTCTCCCAAGGCCCAGGCCTGCATGCTGGCAGTTGAAGCAATGCTGTCTGTGCTCTCTCCTGATTAACACAGTCTTATGACTCACAAAAATTTAATGACTTCAGCTCAAGGAGTTACAGCGGTGGTGAATCTGGGCACTACATGTATCGTCCTCATTCTTAACAGCACAGCATAAACATCAAAGCGGGGAGATGGGCTTTACACTAGGGATATTTGCACTGCTGAAGTGTACAACTTGCCTGTGGTTCAGCAGCTGTTAGCTGCCTACCATTAGAAGCATAAAACAAAGTTAGTAAATGTGGAAATATGCCTGGAGTATAGACTGGTGAGATGCAGCGTGTTCAGCCAAGTGATGATCGTGAAATGTGTTGTTCGGTTTCTTAAGAAATGTTTTGTGCATGTTTGGGAACAGAGAGAAGCAGCTACTCCCTCCCTCACCATCTGTTCTCTTCTACCCAGGGAGCGCATGGAGTTATTGGAAGAAGCCAGGAAGATGGAAATGGCAAAGTTTCGTTACATACTTCCTGTTTACGGCATCTGTAAAGAGCCGGTTGGCTTGGTCATGGAATACATGGAAACGGGGTCTCTGGAAAAGCTCCTGGCTTCTGAACCCCTGCCCTGGGAATTGCGCTTCCGCATCATCCACGAGACAGCTGTGGGGATGAACTTCCTGCACTGCATGTCCCCTCCGCTGCTCCACCTGGACCTCAAGCCTGCAAACATCCTGCTTGATGCCCACTACCATGTCAAGGTATGCACTGGGCACTCTGTGCCAGGGACCCACCTTCGGGTATTCTTGCGTGGCTCCTGCTGTACTCAAAGGCCTGAGAGAAACCAGCAGCATTCCTTCTGAATGAGAAGAATGCCCACCAACCCAGCCTCTCCAGTCCCCAAACTTGTCTACCTGATTTATGCACCATTTTGGTACATAAATTAGAGGTAGAGTTAGGGAGCTTGCGAGAACTCTCCTGAAATTTTAGGAAGGTGCTAGTGTAGTGAACTCTGGTTTTGAGACCTAGTGGACCCTGCTATAAATTTCCTTGCAGTAGGGTCATGAGACAGATGAGAACAGGGAGAGAAAAGCAGTGTGAACCTCTAAATCATCTGTGCCACTTTCACAGCTCCTAGCAGTAACCTTGTTCTGTCTAGGTCCTTCTGGCTTTTTATGCTCCACTAAATTCCCAAATCTCATTTACAGCTGGAGTCCAGAGAAGCCTTCCCAGAGGCAACTAATTTTCTTCTTTCATTTGCTCGGAGCACATACAGTGAAGAAGTATCTCCGTTATGACTCTTCAGCATACCAGAGGTCACTTAAGGGAATTTTTGTGGCTGTATCAGTATGCAATTCTTTTTGTTATCCATTTCCAGAGTAAGCTAGCAAACTTGTTGGCCTTCTCTGTTGGAGGTTCTGTTTTGACAGCTGGACTAAGGAGGTTGTGCTTGCTTTCTGATCCTTACTTTTGTAAAGAAAAGAGACTGAAATACATCTTTTTTTGTGATTTCTCTCCCACAAATTAGTAGCCAAACTCTTAACCTTACAACTGCAGGATTAATCATGCTGACTGGCTGATATAACTCAGTACAAGTAGTCATAGGTTTTCAGTGCCATCATCCATCTGCTCCCTGTTTTCCTGTCCCCCTCAAACTGGCTGAAAGTCTTTGGTCTTGCTGTACCATTCTAAAAATGAAGTTTTCATTAAATGAAAACATCTCTCCTCATGTCATGAGAGGTTTGGAGCCATAAGAGGTGTGTGTCTCTAATGAAATCACACCTGTGACAGTCTCAGCTTTTTTACAAGCCTCTTAGTGGTTTATTTCTTAGAAGGATTTTCTTTCTGAGATAGGAATCATCTACAGGTGGTCCATGGTATTATGACCAGAACATCAGGATCTGAACTGTTAAAAGTATATTCTCACATGTTGGTGCTGAGAAGCCTTTGCTAAGTATTTATTTACCTAAAGTTTGTGCTTGCTTGCATAACTTATTAAATTCCTACGCCTTGACTCATCCATGAGCCAAGATATGAAGGCTGTATTTTTCTCACTGTTTCAGGAGGTTGAAATGCTGCCTGATATTCAGCCTGCTGTATAGCCTGTATCTGGGTGGTGATGCAGTACAGGGGGGCAAAGTGTGAAATATACCAAAAAAAAAAAAAAAAGTTGAGGTCATTGCTGACATCCCTAAACTTCTGCTACTTGCTCTGTATATGAAGCACATGAAGGTCTTCAGACCCTTTCTATTAAGTTCAGAAAAGAATGGTCTAATCCAATCCTCCTTCCAGCCACCAGTCTTTTACATCTGCGAGCATCTTGGAAACCCCTCCAAGCAGCAAAGCAGACATAGGAACCCATATGCAAAATAAGAGATATACATATTCTGTGAGGCGCCTTCACTTTAAAAATGTGGCCCCAAACCTTCTTTTTGTGTGATGTGAGACTTGTAATTAAATTTTAGACCCTGCAGCTTGATTTAATGTGCGTTTTCTTGCTGAAGGCTAATGGAGCTGATGACTGAAGTGTTTTTACTTTTTAAATGTTAGCGTTAATTTAGTAGGTGACCTGTCCCTAATAGAATCCTAAGGTGAGTGAAGAGATGTTGCAGACTGCAAAAGAAGAGTTTGGAGGTAGGGAGGACTTCTATAAACTGTTTGCCCTTGAGCCAGGAAACAGACAGTCTTCCAGTGGCGCACATTAGAAATGCTTCTATGCCATATTGCTAGTTAAATGGAAACACACCCTTCTTCTTTTACGAGCACAATGCTTACTGTAAAAACCCCAAGTGAGGATGATGACTAACGCAGTAGTGTTGTACAGAACTTATCATCAAGTGGGTGCCTCCGTATCATAAAGCTGTCTCCTGTGTATTACATAAGTGGGTGATGAATTTTGTTCTTGGGAGGATAATTAAGAGGATGGGATTAACCTGAGCTCTGAGCAGGGATATAGGTAGACAGGTACTAACTTTTTCAAAGGCATGTTGGGGGATTCCTTGGTGAATTTAAATATATAAATTTTAAATATAATTTAAATATAAATTTAAATTAATATGCACAATGCAAGGTAAGGCTTTGCAGGTTTTTTGAGGATGAATGGATGCATGCATGCATGCCTCCTCCCCTGTGAGTGGTGGTGGAGCTCAGCTGGGAGCTCCCTTACCTGCCATGTCCTCCTCCATCTTGGTTGCCTTAAGCAGTGTGTTTCCTTTGGAGGATTATTCCATACCCAGGCAGGCTTTCCTAGCAGGGATCAGCCTGTGTTTTTTTTGTTTTCCTTAATGTCAGCCTGTTACTTCTATTTGTACCAACACTATCCTCAATACCCCTTTCTCCAGTGTTCCATATGTGCAACCTTCGAGTACTTACGGGCTGTCTAACTTAGTTTTTGTTTAACTGGACCACAACGTATGAGCTTGTTCTTAAGCTCTCCTGCCCTCCATACACATTCTGGAGGTCTCCCCTGAGCTCCCTGTGGCGTGGCAGTCGCTTGCAGGGAGTGGGCACTGGGGAAGCGCTGCCACATTCCAGCGCTGCCTTCGCGGGCTGTTAATTTGCTCGTTCCCTGCTTCAGTGTGATCTCTCTCCAGGGCCCTCGGTGCAGTAATCCACCCCCATGCAGTAATCTCATACCCTAACTTGTTGCCAGCTTCCATGTCTGCATGCTCTGTTGCTCTTTCCCAGGTTTCTTATCTTAAATATCTCATGGTTAAGAGTGTTGCTTTTTGTTCAGGTATTTAAAATTAAGTCACCTGCAACTTAATACTTTTGGGCAAAATCATTATTTGTAAGTTCTTTTTTTCTCTTGCTATCCAGCCTGTTTTTAGCAGCTCTTCATCTTGTCATGTATATGTACATACACGCACGTATGTATGTGTGGGTATACACACACAGAGAGGCAAATCCCACCAGTTATTTTTCATCTCCCAGATTTTGTTTTTAAAGAACTTGAAGTGGGATGAGCTGGTCTCAGATGTGTGCTGCTTTAAGCTTGCTGTAGTTGCTTTTATTTTTTTATCCCCAGCGCTCCAATTTAAACCAGTGTGAAGAGTGAAGTTTGCTGCTGTGTTGTGCTGTGCTGATAGTCTTGCTGAGCATGGTTAAGTTGCTTCTGTGGTCTTCACCTTTATTTGCTTCAGATGAAGAAGGGGCTTGCAAAATTTATGTGTGGAGTTCAAAGAAGCCTAGTCAGATGGCAAATTTGTTGATCAGAAAGCTTCTTAATGTAGGTCATTAACTGTAGGTCAAAGTAATACCCAGAGGCCAGGCTGGTAAAGAGCGGTTGTATCTTTTTATTAGACTAGCTGATGCAGTTAACACAGCCACTATTTTTTTTTTCCCCATCAGCTGCAAACACTCTCCTGTTATTAAAAAGGAGAAGAGGCTTTGTTGTTTTGTGTGTCCATTCTCCCTGTTTCCCACCCCTCCTGATCAAGGTTTCCATGTACAGCTGTTGTTCCATGGCTCTTTAATGCCAACCAGCAGAGCTGGTCTAATTGATCTAATTGTGACACAGGGGAGGGAACAAGACCACCCCTGTTACGGTAATGCAGTTTTATGATTAATTAAAATGGATGTTTGACTGTGGGACTGTGGCTTTGGTTTCTGCTGCTTCTGAAGACAGCATTACAAATGTCCCACCTGAAACAGGTTTTGAGGAGTAAAGGTTTCAAGGCAGGTTGGAAAAGGATGGAAATACAATGTTTCAGAAAGACTTCTTTTAGTAGCTAACTGAAGTGTGTTCGTAAACACTGAAGTAAAGACATTATGTTTGAAGTGCAGATGCTCATTGTGTCTACACTTGGAATTAATTTTTATTCCTAATTTTTAGTAGTCCAAATCTGTGACCCATGTAGGTCTCAAAGATTTCTGGCATTTCTTAAAGAACAAAATGGACCAACCAGCCTTTCTCCCCTACCTCCAGAAAAACAAAAAGCAAGGCCAATCCCGCCCCCCAACCAAGCACCAAAAAACACCGTAGACAAATGTGGCATTCTCAATATCCAGGTGCTCAGAGACTATGGACAGAGACACTCACTGGGTATGCCAGCAGCAATTAAAAATTAGTCTGATGGCTCTGTTACCTATTTGATGAAGAAAACCTTTTGGTGAACTCTGTCCCCAAGTCCATTGCAGTGGGTTCTTTATTTGCAGAAAAATGAAAAATTACATGTAGCATCAGAAGCTAAGTGCACATTTGAGGACAGCCTGTCAGGAGTCATCAGTGAAAGCACTTTCCAAGCACCAGTTTCGTTCTTGGGAGCTAGATCCCTGGAGTGTTTTTGGGAATAGATGACTTTAGTAACCATTGTAGTTATGTGACCATATCTAGTTTTTTTGCAGAAACCCCCCAAAAGTTCCACAAAATAAATATACAAACTCAAAGCATCTAAAACTGCAAGTGGGTGTTTTTTTACAAACTAGAATGGAAATGTCCACAAACAACAGATGCAGAGAAAGGACTGTGTCCACAGTATGCTCAATTTAAAACAAACAAAGCTAAAAAAAACCCCAAACCCCAACATCTTCAGATCTTGGGATCTCTCAGTAAAGTGTTACTGGAAAGTGGGTAGGAAAACATGTTCAGTTCCCCTCCCCAGTTGCTACTCACGTGTTTGTTCTCATGCAGACCTTTAAAGAGCAGAGACTGAGCGAGCTGTCTGAACATGAACAATCCCACTGTCTGCGTGGGCTTTGGCCAATGTTTTTTCTCTTCTTCCTACCTCTTCACCACGTGTTTTGCATGAAGCAGTCTGTCGCCTCCGTGTCTCCTCTTAACTCTGCTGATATTAGGTATGCTTTTGAAGCATGGTGGGAGCCACCTGAAATAGCTGATGTGAGGAGTGAGTTGATGGGTTCTGTCGGATCATGGGGTGGGCTGCAAGGGCTAGCAGGGATGTGAAGGAAGAAGAGGGGAGGGGTGCTCCGCTTTCACTACCTTCACCAGCAGGGGTGCCTTGTGTTGCAGAACTAGGTACCTGGCAAGCAATTTAAAGGCAAAATAGGTAAGTTAAATGGCTGTGTCTTCCACCCACTGCGCAGTTCCCACTGATGTTTAAAGAAACTGCATGACTAAATACACCATGCAGTGTGGAAAACTTACTTTAAAGGAGCTAATAAAAGCCATAAAAACTGTCTGTAGAATTTTACTATTTTGTTGCAGCCTGGAAGATTCAGTTCTCCAATTTCCAGTGTTTTCTGCAGGATTTGATAGGATTGAAACTCTGCTCTACATATGAATTTCCTATTAATTGATACAAAACCCAGTCCTTTGCAGTAGGTGGGGGCAGGTTCACAAAGTAAAGTTCTTGCTCGCCTGGGGTGGGTAGACTATGCACCTTAACTGTTTCTTGGTTTGTAGGCCAAGACTGAGACCTCTTCTATCTAGTGTGCTTAGCCTCCCATTTTATCCACTAGCTTTAGATTCATGCAACATAGCTGGTGGCTTTTAATGCAGGAGTGTCACTGTGCTGTCTCTGTTTCATCTTTATTTAACTTACACAGTAGGAAACTCAGTATTGTTTAGACAAAGAGGAAGGTGTATTACTTTAATTATGCCTGCATGCCATATGGATTTCTTGAGGTGTATACAAGCCTCTGCTTCACGTTAATCAAAGGAGAGCAGCGTTTCACCAAGTCAGATCTGTTCAGACTTGCAGCAGTTGGTTCATTTATTAACCTGACACCACGGGCTTGCGTGATGTTGGGGTTGTGCTTTTGTTCTCCTGTGGAGCACTAAGTGCCCCAAACTCATGCAGCGCTTCCTGGGGCGGTCGATTCAGATCTTCCCAGGGTAAACTGGCTTGAGAACCTGGGTTTCTTGACTATTTGCTTTTCTGGACTCCAGTGCTTGGCTTGCAGAGGAGGCCGCAATCCCCTCTGAGAGTGTAGCCCTACAAGCATGAGAAACTATTCCTCCAGATGACTTTGCTTTTTTCCCTGTTTTTTTTTCTTCTCTGGTCATTGCCACAGTACCCTACAGATTTAAGATACAGATGGACAACAGGTGGGATATACCTGTGTGCTAGTGTGCAGGACTTCTGCAGCTCCTGAGAATGCCTCTCTTGAGCTCTGTCCCTGGGAGAAGTTCCTCCTGAAGCTGTGTAGGTTGCTTTTTTTGGTTTATGGCAAAGGGAGATTCCTGGCATTTGAAGATGGCTGGCTGTGTAGCCCTGTCTGTTCTCCAGGAGGCTGAAGCTGGCAGCAGTTTTCTCCCTTTCCAGTAATGGATGCATGTTATGACTAGCTTTGTGGTATCTTTAGACAGAAACTTCTGAAAGTGTAAAGTTGGAGCCTATTTAAAAAAAAAAAAAAAAAAGAAAAGCTTTTTTTTAATTATGCTTGTTGTTTTGGGGGAGAACTTTCTTAAAGGAGAAGCTGTGAAGATCAAAAGGGGAATGAGTCATCAGAAAACCTATTTTTCAATTTAGTATTTATTAGATAAAAAAGAATGTGTGAGGCAGGGGGAGGAAATCTTCTCTAACATGTAGACAAAAATCAGTGGGCTGAGTGGTCCAAAAAGACTTGACTTTTCTTGAAATTTCAACTTAGAATAATAGACATTTTTGACCAGTGGGAAATAAGTAAGACAGAGGAAATTCCTTGCCTATCTGTTTGCTTGATGGTTGGTATGCTTTTGAGAGCAAATGAATGCATATTTGTTTGACACTTCAGATTAAAGTGGAGGTGTGTTTTCCTTTTTATGAACTTGCTGTCACTTGTTTTGTTCGTTTCAGCTGTGTTCACTGCATCACTGCACCAACTTGCTGTATCTCCTAGTTGCCAAAAAGAATTCCCTGTGTGGGTTTTTGATGTATGTGTTTTGGTTTGGGTTTTTTTAACACTTGGTGCCTCTGGTGTTGGGCTTAGACCTTGTTGGCATGGTCAGTGTAACAGTGATAGCTGAAAGAGCAATTCTCCTGCACTTACTGAGGAGCTCATGGACTGAAAACAGGTGCTCAGAACATGTAAACATAGCATATAGTGTGAGGTTATACAGGGAAAGGGGGTGGCAGGACCAATAATTACATTAAAGTAGTTTGCACTAGCTAAATTTGGCAAGTTTCAAATTACAATAAATTGTCTTGACTGTTTGTTGTGTTTGCTGTGTAATGGGCTAACATGCTGCTGCTTGCAAAAAACGGCTTGCCTTTTCTTTTTTTCAGTTTAACCGTAAAGAAAAGTCTATCATAATGTAATGCTTCCAGAGGTGTTTTCTTATCTTAGTATTCCTGAACAGCAGCTTGCTATATTTTGTTGGATCATCCTGTTACATCTGTCATTCTTTACAGACGAATTTTTGTTAATGCCTCCGAAGTCTAATGGTAGCATGTGCTTCTCTTCCGCTCTTCCTCCTCTGTTTTTTGCAGATTTCTGACTTTGGACTTGCAAAGTGCAATGGCTTGTCTCATTCCCATGACATCAGCATGGACGGCTTGTGTGGCACAATTGCATATCTTCCTCCAGAGCGCATCAAAGAGAAAAACAGGTGTTTTGACACCAAACATGATGTATACAGGTCAGTTAACTATGAAAACGCTTAAAAGCACTTTAGATGATACTGTAAAATGAGCCCTCTTTTTCTGATTATCAAAACCTAATTGAGCATGAAACCCTGAAATCTAGTCTGAACCTTATCTTGCAAGGTTCTCCTTTGTTTTGCTTTTAGCAAAGCCTTTGTAGGATAGAATTATTTTCGCAAATTGCAGCTGATCCTGAGTCTTCAGCATTATTGTTCCATGTAACACTGATGAGCAACTGGCATGGAAGGGATTCTGCCCTCCTTTAATTTTCCCATCAAAAGGTACATCCTGACCTACTTTTTGAGTCTCTGACAAAATTCTTAGTTATCTTCAGTGGATTTCATCACTAGGTCTTTGGTTCTTCTTTCATGGTAAGGTTATTAGGAAAAGGAAATCAGAGCTGTAGATTAAAAGATATGTCGTATTTTAAATGGAATGTATTTCTTTAAAGTTGTCTTGCAGGGTAGAAGTGTTAAATAAAATCCACAGTAATGCTTTGCTGCTCTCTGATTTTGTCGGTCTTGGTGTGGAGTGGCTGGTAAATGTTCTCAGCAAGATCTCAGCAGCCTCCAGCCAGTCCTTGTGTTTGCTGCCTCAGGTTCCTCCCTGCAGAAACTAGACTTTCAAATTATGGTTCTTGGCTGCATCTTGCTGTGTGTGTTCATCAGTTGAATTAGATGCAGAAGTGAAAGACAAGGAGAGAGAACTTAGGGAAATAAATTACACTTCTGTGAGTTGTTTGGATTTTTGGGGGTTTTGCTGGCTTTTTTTTTTTTTTTTTTTTTTTTTTAAATTCTAGAAATTTTTTTTTTTCCTTTTATTTGTAGTTTTTCCATTGTGGTTTGGGGAGTTCTTACACAGAAAAAGCCTTTTGCAGGTAAGTTTGATGTTGGAATTTTTTCCTTTTTCCCATTGATAAGCACGCTTCCTGCCCCACCAGCCCCAGCTTACGTGCATGTCCTCCAAATTCCTACAGTCCTGTGTGGCAGACACTTTTAAGCTTTCAAATTCTGATCGCAAATATAAGTCCTCCTTTGTCCTACATCATGAAAGCAGAACCCATTTTGCCGCAGGGGGCCCTAGTCTGCACCTTTTTGCTTCTGTTGGAGTTTGCTGTACAGATTCAGATCAGTGTGTGGCCTGCACAGACTTCTGACACGTTTGTGGCCAATGAGGAACAGCGCAGAGCAAAGCCAACTGGCAGGCAACTGCGCTGTTTTCAGAAACATCTCTGTAGAGAAGGTTCTGTAGTTTATTTGTAGATTGTGGGTACTGATTTGTTCTTTAAAAAGCCCCAGACCTGTCTGTGAAAATAAGCCTTGTTCCACCCCACAGTAAATGCACCGATCAACAGGCAGCTACTTATTCTTTATGACTTTTCCTGTGTGTATGACTAGCCTGTGTATAGCAAACATGTTTGAACAGGTTCAAGTCTACTATTAATTTTTCTCCAAGTGAGAGATCCCATTTAGCCCAATGGTTGACTTCAGAGTCAAGAGCCACATTACTGCACTGCTTGATTTGTTTTCTTCTTTCACCTTCCTTCACCTCAGGTACTTGATCTAAATAAAAGCTGTGGTTCGCTTTTCTTACAGCAGATATGGAAATCCAAAGAGACGTAGCAAAGCACTGTTTGAGTTTTTTTATTTTGTTTCTGTGTCTATGATGAGTGGAAAAAGAACACAGTCACTCACTGACAATTTCTTTTAATTGATACATGGGAAGTGGGTTACTGCATTGATAAATGTATTGTGGGAGAGTAAGAACAACTTCTTTTTCCTTGTTGATAAAAGAAAGCACCCTAAATCTAGAAAAAAACACATGAAAATAAATTTTCAGCATAATACACTGCTAATGCGCTTAGACAAAAGAGAAATCATCCCTTTTGCTGGGGGATCTTAATTTGTGTGCTTTCGCTTTACAGAGGAAAACAACATTTTACATATTATGGTAAAAGTAGTTAAAGGCCACCGCCCAGAGCTACCTGCTGTTTCCAAATCCAGACCTCATTCATGTAATAACTTGATCAAACTGATGCAAAAATGTTGGCAGGATGATCCTGGTGAACGGCCAACATTTCAAGGTAAGGTTTCCTCGTAGCTTGGCTGCCCATTTATTCTTCTGTGAGTCACGTTATTGCTCAAGACTCTGTTAATCCTTGGAGTAGATGCTGTGAACCTCTGTGACAGAATAAATAGAGTACATTGTATGGTAGAGACAATGATACAGGCCACTTATTCATTTGTGGAGGAAGGGATTATCTGGGGACGAGTCTGACCATGACGGTGTTATGTAAACACATCAGGTATAAGACTAGTACTGAACCAGTTGATCCATTTAGCTAGAAATTATGTTCATTTCTGACTGTGTGTATTGGGGGCATATGCCAAGCTGGCACTGGTGTGGTTTTCATTATACCAAAGTTTGGAAGCCCCTGGCTCTTGAAATTTACTGTTGTATGTTGAGAAACTGCATTGTTTTCTTGTAACAGAACAATTTGTACTGGCATTTTTCTGCCAATAAAAGGCAACTCTGGTGAAAGGCTTGAACCTGCCCAAAGCACCTGTTACAAATTCAAATGTGCAGAAGGATGTATCAAGTGCTATCTCCAGGTGGCTTTATTTAGCATTAATGGGTGAAATTTGCCTCTTTTCTCCTCCTGTCTGAACAAGATATGGGGACTGAAGGGTGGAGGGTTCCTGTCTTTTTAAAAACACATGTCTTAAGTCTGCCAGCAGTAGACTGGTTGCCATTTCACAGTCCTGCGGTGTAGCCACCATGTAACATCAGTCTGGTCTGAATGTGAAAATGAATTGTTCAGTCAGCCCCATGCACTATTTGCCTGCTACTCACTTTTACCTACTGATGAAGGTGCTAGATGGAAGATTTGGAACTGGAGTCTTTCTCCCACAGTATCTGAAAGCCGTTAAGCTCTAATGATACAGAAAGGCAACAGGGCATCTCAGAAAAGTCTCCTATTAAGAATAAAAACCCCAACAAATAAAGCTTTCTCTTGTTTTCTTCAAAGAAATCACTTCAGAAACAGAGGCCCTTTGTGAAAAACCAGAAGATGAAACAAGAGAGATGATAACTCAGGACCTGGACACCAAGAATTCCCCAGAGCAGCAGCCTGAGGTATTTCCTTTTTCCATCTCTTGTTCAAACTCACTAGATTTTGTGAGGAACAGGTTCCTCTGTGACCTGTAACTTCCCAAGCAACCTTCTTTTTGCTGCTTTTGAGCACCTTCTTGCCTCATAGAAGTGGGTCTTGGTGAAGGACTGGAATGCAAAAGTGACAGCGCATGCATGGACCAGCTCAGGAAAACCTCAGCACAGGACTCTTAGACTGTTGAGGAAGAGCAGGACAGTTAGGAGATAAATGCTGGAACTGTGGGTGTGACTAATCTTTAAGCATGCTGTAGACAGAAGAGCTGTGCAGCTTTAGTGGCTGTGTGAGTACTGATGAAAGCTGCCCTCCTGCATCTGAAAATTTTCAGTGGCCTTATCTGTAGGTTTCGTTTAATACAATCGGTGTTTAAAGGCTACCTGAAAACTAACAGACTTATGTTTCTTCCTGGAGGACTTCTTGCTCAGTTTTCTTTACTGACCTTTCTACAATGCTTGTGTGCTTCTCTTGAAGGGGCTGTCTGCATTATCCCAGCCAAAACAGGAGCCTGCTCTTCCATCAGTTAAGGATTACAGTCTCTCAGAGTTGTTGTCCCAGTTGGATTCGGGGATTTCACAGACCATGGAAGGCCCTGAGGATCTCAGCCGCAGCTCTTCTGAGTCCAAACTTGCCTCCAGCGACAAGCGGCTTTCAGGAGTTTCATCTGTAGATTCAGCTTTTTCATCCAGGGGTTCCCTTTCCCTTTCCTTTGAAAGGGAGAGTTCAGGTAATGGCCAGGTTTTTCTTTGTTGGTGGTTTTTTGTAGTTGTTTGGACTGGTGCATGAGAGTCAAGGGGCTGGAGAGTAGTCATATAAAGAATAGCATTCTGGAAATCACTGTTAACCTTGCTTTCTCTTGCTGTCAGCGCTACAGATTTGTTTACTGGGGGTAGTTATTAAAAAAAAAAAAAAAAGAGGTGGTTCCCAAACATGATCTAATGAGAAATAATAAATCTCATTTACTTTTGGAAAGAAGTGACCTGAATTACCATTAAAGCAATTAAAGAATCAGTCATGTAAAGGCTGATTGGAAGAGAGGTCACCTATTCCAGCGTCCTGCTCACAGTGGGACTAAAGCCAATGCTCAGTGAGGTCAGCTGAGTATGTGGCTTTTTCAGTTATACTAAACCCAAGTCCGAGCTTGCTTTTTTTTTTTTTTTTTTTGAGAAGACTCAAGCCACCTTCTCAGCAGTCCTCATGAACATTGCAATAAAGACCTCCACTTTTGTGCACATGCCCCTCCCTTTTCAATCCAGTGCTGCAGAAATGAGGCATCTATTTTCCAGTTAGGCAAACAACGATTAGTGCAGGGAGATCAATTACAGCATCTTTTGTTACTCATTTCACAAGAAACAGAATAAGAGTAAGTGGGGCTCCAAATCTGACCTGAAATTGTTCTGAAACTACTGCGGGGGGCGGAAAGGGGATTTCTTTGCAGTCAAGTCATTGCTGAAGCTGCTGGATATGTTAACCATGGGCAAGTAAGGTTTGATGGGTATCAAAATAGTGATGATGTCTTTTTCACAGAATCATAGACTAGTTGGAAGGGACCTTTAAAGATCATCTAGTCCAACCCCTCTGCAATGGGAAGGGACATCTTCAACTAGATCAGGTTGCTTAGAGCCCTGTCCAGATTGACCTTGAATGTTTCTAGGGATGGGGCATCTACCACTTCTCTGAGCAACCTGTTACAGTGCTTTACAACTCTCATTGTGAAAAATTTCCTCCTTATATCCATCTAGATATTGGTACTACAGACATACAGAAGAGGAAGCTAACAGAGGCCATTTTGTCTGGAGATACCAGCAAGCTGATGAAGATCCTCCAGCCTCAAGATGTTGATATTGTCTTAGATGGGAACTCCAGTCTTTTGCACTTGGCTGTTGAAGCTGGTCAAGAAGAATGTGTCAAATGGCTCCTCCTGTACAATGCTAACCCTAACCTCACCAACAAGAAAGGATCCACCCCTCTTCACATAGCCATTGAGAAGAAAGTTAAAAGCATTGTGGAGCTGATAATGGCTAGGAAAATCAATGTTAATGCCAAAGATGAGGATCAGTGGACTGCTCTTCACTTTGCTGCCCAAAACGGGGATGATTTCAGCACCAAAATGCTGCTTGATAAGAATGCGTCTTTAAATGAGGTGGATTTTGAAGGCAGAGCCCCCATCCACATAGCCTGTCAGTACGGCCAAGAGAATATTGTGCGGATCCTGTTGAGAAGAGGCGTTAATGTGAACATCAAAGGAAAGGATGACTGGGTGCCACTGCACTATGCTGCCTGGCAAGGTCATCTCCCCATCGTAAAGCTTCTGGCCAAACAGCGGGGTGCAAACGTGAACGTGCAGACCGTGGATGGAAGGACCTCGCTGCACTTGGCTGCTCAACGAGGACACTACCGTGTCGCTCGCCTTCTCATAGACCTGGAGTCGGATGTTAACATACAGAACACGCTCTTGCAGACTGCTCTCCACATAGCAGCTGAAACTGGCCACACAAGCACATCGAGGCTGCTCCTTAAACACGGTGTAGACATTGAGGCAGCAACAGCAGAAGGATACACTGCTCTGCACTTGGCATCTCGCAGCGGCCATTTAGCAACAACGAAGTTGCTGATAGATGAAAGGGCCAGTGTTCTAGCCAGAGGCCCTTTAAATAGGACAGCGTTACATCTTGCTGCAGAAAACGGGCACTCTGAAGTAGTAGAAGAACTTGTCAGTTCAGAAAATATCAATGTTTCTGACAGTGAAGGATTGACAGCTCTTCATCTGGCTGCACGAGGAGGTCACACAAAAACAGTTGAGGTTCTTCTGAAGCATGGGGCACACACTGACAAGCAAAGACTGACACGTCAGACCCTGCTACAGCTTGCTCAGCAGAGCAGTAATAGCTCAGTTGCTGTGTTAAGTGAGACTTAAGCAAAAGGTACAGAACTGGCTACCTTTCTACCTGGTGCGAGAAGGCTGCCGGAGCTTGACCCTCCAGTTGTGCAGTGACCCGCTCATCAGTGGTGTCATCTGATGGACTGAGGTACAGCCAGCAGAAGCTACTTGTGTTTGAGGGTGCGAGTGAGAGCACACAGGGACTAAGGCCAGCTGTAAGGCGAAGAGCTGGAGTCTGCCATGCAGTGGCCTGTATCAGTCATTCTGCATGTGCCTGCCTTGTCTGTATATTAACATTCCCCTCCCAAAGGATATTGTGATAGAAGGATGCAACTTTGTGGGTTTCTCCCCTGCTTTTTTTTTTTTTTTGTGCCAAACTAATTTAAGAACTAAGTCTGCTTTTTTATTTTGCTAAATAAAAAAAGTTGGCATAGATTCCTGGTTTACTGCAGTGATCTGTATTTTGGGCTGAAAGCCTCCAGTGTAAAATAAACACAACACAACTCTGCTTGAAATTAATGCAAGAGATGAGGAAAGGGATATTTAAGATATAGTTAATCATGTTTCAGTGTCAGAAGGTACTCTGTTTAATGGAGATTGATTACAGCTTTCCATGTACTCAAAATTGATGAGGCAGACTTACTAACAAGGCAGGATCCCAAAAATACAGTACCACCTTGTATGTATTACAAGATCAGTAAGCTGAACAAAGTGTTTAGTGGTTTGTCTTAAATGAAAAAGTCAAAAGCTAAAACTCATACTGGACTGTAACTGGATGGTATATTCTAACACCATTATACCAATTTGTGAAACAATGTTTGAGGGGGCTGATGATAGACTGATATACTGTGTATATAGTATTTCTACCTGTTGTATGCCTTTTTCTACTGAAGAAAATAGATTTCTTAGAGTGGGTATGTTTTAATACACCTTTTAATTTCACTCTTTTCAAAGTTCAAATGTGATCTGTTATTAATAAAAGATTGTGTTCCATATTTGTCTGTAGTTTGCAATTGTTAAAACAACTGAAACCCCATTGACCAGCAGCATCACACAACTGTAATGTGTTTAAGACGTTGAATCACAAACTGTTGACAGGTAAGGCTGTCCTTAGTTTTACATTCTCCTTGGCTTTTACAGGGATGGTAAGGAGCTTGAATGAATTTACAGAACAAACCCCCACATAACCTAGCCTTTATGTGCATAATGTGTTGATGTACAACTGGAATGCTTTTCTCTTATGCTGTAGATGTTCAGGGAATTCAGTTTTTTTCCCCACCTTGAGGCCAAGTTAAATGCTTTTACATCTTCCCTGCTGACTGGTAGGCTGCTGCCTGGACAGGTACCTCACCTCTCCTTGGTGGTGTGTTCCCACCCTGCATGCCACAGCTCAAGCAGAAGGGTCATGCTTTGCTCACACCTCCCCTGACAGGAAAGCTGCTCCTGCTTCAGACTTTTTTTGCACATGCATGATGGCAGTGGTAAGAATGCCAGTGCTACCTCAGTATGTGATTTTAGGAGTCAGAGTGCTCCTATGAGAATCTAGCCCCATGAAAGTTAATACTTTTTTAAAAACCAAAACCCAACATCCTGTCATTGGGGAGGGTAGTGGCTGAGGGTGATCGATAACTGAAGGAGAATGGGTGGTTGCAGAGGGGGCAGGGAACCTGCTGCTGTTTGATACACTTCTTGGCTTCAAGTAGGTAACTAGGTACCTGCATGCAACTCCCCTAGTTCAATTTCTTGAATTTTAAGGTGTTTCACTGGCTGCCTAATGAAACTGTATTAAAGAAGAGATGGTGAAGCTACACTCATGCCAATATGGAGGTTACAAAGCGATGTACCTCTTACTGGAGCACAGCAGTCACAGCAAGCTTCCTCAAGGTGCTGACAATGAAACTTCTCATTAAACGAAAGTAATTTTCTTACTGCTTCCTTCAACTTCTTTTGAGACCAATAAGGTTGTCATGTTTCATTAAGCTGTACTTAACCAGTTTCTCTTTATAGCAAATTCAACCACAGACCACTTCAGTCTTTCAATGCCTGTGCTACTCTGATTAAACACTTGGCCTAGTCTAGGACATATCATACCCTTCTATTTCAGAGTCCTCTGAACAGTGAGATTTGAGATGCTTTAATCCAAGCTGTGTTTGTCTGAACTGCAGAAGACCTGTAAGACCACATAACAGCAGTCTTGTGCCACCTAATAAAGGTGGTGTATGCCAGCTAGGCAAGGGGAAAGTACACTTATAAAATGCTTTTAAAACAGCTCAAGCACTGCTTCGCCAGTACATTCCTTCAGTGCTTAATAATAATAGCACATTAGCTTCTAATTAAACATGAGGCCACACTCATGAGTCTTTATTTTCCATGCTGTCTTTCACAATAACAGGCACCAGCGATGCATTACATAGAAGGCAACACAGCTGGCACTGGAAAGAAAAAACAATGAAGGGATTGCACTGGAAAGAAAAAACAATGAAGGGATTGCAGTGACATGCTACCAGTATTGGAGTGGGTTATTTGTCCCTGTGCACCATCCTTCCTTGGGGGCAGGAGTGAATGGGGGTGCTAAATTAGCACTCATGCAGCAATTACGAATTACTGTTTTCTAAGGTCTCCTGCAGGTGACTTTCTGATCGTATGTGCACTCCTCTAGACTTAGCTGAAATTCTAACCGAGCTGCTGACCTACAGCTTACAGGCATTTCTTTGTCTCTTTCCAATCTTAGCCATATTCTTTAAAAAGATGCCAAAAAAATACACAGACCAACCTAATAGCAGTATCGGGCTTTGTCGCTATGTATCTACACAAAACCCCCCAACTCCCTACCAAAAGAAAAACGAAATCCCCAGACCCTACCATAAACACACACTCTGTATCATTTGACTGCTTTTCCCTAGTTGAGTTGGCAGATTGAACTTGGCTGCCCCAAGTCTGAAAAGAAACCTGTTCCCCACGCCACTTTCTGCCAGCTTCCCTCCCTCCACTTCAGCTCATGCCCTGAAGCAAGCCAAGGCATCGGTGTGAACCAGCGCCTAGGCCATGGGCTCTGCCCACTCACCCACCAGCTCCAGCCCTCATGCAAACCCCTAAACCAGCACAAAACCCCACATGCTCAGGAAAGCGGATTTGAGAGGTGAAGGCATGGAGGGCTCCACGGAGCTGAACGTTGGTCCAGGTCCCCCACGCTGCCTAACTGCTCCCTGGCAGCAGCAAGGGCTGCAAAATGAACATAAGGTCCTCTTGCTCATCTTCAAAATCAGGTAGAGGCTACACCATGCTTGCCTGGTTCCTTAGGGCTTCTGCCCCATGGCCCCAGGTGGCTATTTCAGCCCAAGGAGTAAAGAGCATAGGAAAAAAGATACAGTGAAATGGTGTTAGTGACCACACGCTTCACCTTTTCATCTCTGGATGTGATTTTTCAACCTGGCCTCTGCCTGCATGCCTGAGGTAGTATAGGCTGTGTTTTTTGCCAGCACCCGTTGGTGCCGGCTCCGGGTGCAGGAGCCCCAGCAGCTGGGAAGGTGCCTCACACCATCCCCATTCCTTGCTGCTTCATCCCAGCCTCCGCCTGCGGGGGACAGCGCAGCCCCTGATGCATTACCTGTCTTCGCAACAGTTTGTTCCCAGCGCCCGGTAGTTTTATTTACCTGCTGCTTAGCACGAGGCGCTGCAGTGCCGTGTTCCTACAGGCCTCGGGAGGACTCGACAAGCCTGCGGTTCAAACACGCTCGGTGGTGTCGGGCGGTGAGGGGAGAGAATTGCTGGGTGATTGCAAAGAGGCCTGGAGGCAAACCTCAGCCCTTTCATTCCTGCCTCCTCTCTTGCACCACCTTGGCTCTGCATAACAGGGTTGCAAGAAAAACAAGGCATGTGGGAGCTGCTCTACAAGGTCTCCTTTAGCCGAGAGGTCTGGAGGGGGGGAATATCTACTTCTCCTCCACGCTCCTTTAACCCAGCTGGGTCACATAAGGTGCTGACAGGCTTGCAGGCATCCCCAAAAAGCCTTCGGGTGCCACAGTGCTCTGCTGCTGGGGTGCAAACCTGCGTTACCTCCTCGGCTGCCCCTGGGCCCAGCTGCTGAGCAGATCCCATTGTCCCTGCACCCTGGGGAGGGGGCATCCAGCCCTTCCTCTTCCCTCCTGTTCTCAGAGAAGGAGGACTTTCTTCAAGCAGCGCTGACTGTGATCTGTTTCTTTGAAGGAGACCCACAGCAAGGAAGAAAGAGGGCCAGGCTTCTTCACACAAGTCCTGGGGCCAAGGGTTTGAGATGCCTGCTGTGCTTAGCCTGTCCTGTTCTTTGGCCAAAACCGCCTGCACGTGCACACCCAGGTCTCTGCATGAAGCCTTTAACTGCTTTTGCAACACCGGTTCGGTATTGCAGAAGGATGGATCATGCACAGCACCACTCCACTCCTGCCCGTCTCCCCGCTTTTGGGACGCACTTGAACCCAGGGGCTGTGGCAAAACGCCCGAACACCGGCACTCCTATCGCCGAGCAGAGCCAGAGAGAGATCCACAACCCAAAGGGCGTGCTGATTAACCAGAGCAGCGTAGCAGCACAGGAAGCCCTTTCCAACAGGGCAGGCGGCAGAAGGCAGATCCCAACACGTTGGGCCGCTGCGGTCGCTCGGCGGCTAAGCGTCACGGGCTGCCGGCAGCGAGACGCGGGGCCGGGCAGCAGCGTGGGGCTGTGCCAGCGGGGAGGCAGGCACGACGCCCGCCTGGGATGAGAAGCCCTCGCTGCTGCACCGGGGAAGTCCTGAGCTTGCAGGGAACCAGAAGGCAGGCACTTGAGAGAAAACGGGGTTTCAAATCACTGCTGCCACCACCTTATTTAGCTTGTGTTTTTGAACTGCTGTGGGAGAGGCTTTCAGGATTTTCTCTGCAGTTATGCAGAGCAAAAACCATTCGAAAACTAATAAAGAGAACTTGCAATCTGCACAGAAACACCTAGCTCAAGTAGAAACATGCAGAAGCACAAGACAGACACTAGAGCTGTGGCAGTGATGAGGGGAAAGATGTTCTACGCTCTTTCCTGGAAGAACCAGGCAAGAGCCCATTCATAGGAGCTTCTCCCTGGGGCAGGCTCTGCCCCACAGCCAGAGAGTAACCGTTGACCACGGCAGGAATAAGGGCCCACAGGCTGCAGACTCACAACATGCACAAGAGACAAATTTGCCCGACGAGTCGTTCCCCCCCATCTCCATTACCTGATTGGATCAGAGGAAATAAATCCTGGCAGAGCCAGTTTTCACATGAGTTCATGCCCTGACCCTGCCTCAACAGGGACCGGGTCCAATACACTTCCTTTTTATCTATTTAAATAGGATTGCTTTTCTTAGTCCACTAACAGGCAAAACATGCCAAGTTCTGTGCTGCCATAAGTTTTAAAACCCCCAGCAAGGCTGGCTTTGTCCCAGCATTGTCTCGCTCTTTGCAAAGATTCTTAGCTAGGGGCAGTGTAGGAGGTTAAGCAGGCCACAATTATAACTGACATTGGGAACATTTATCACAGTAGCTATATCCAAAAGCACATGTGCATGGGGTTTAGACATCTGCAAAATCAAAGTCTAGAAGTCTATAAAGGCTGACTTCAGCCTGACCTGAAGTCCTTCTGCCAGTTGCAGGGGCTCACAAAAATCTCCAATATCTTCCTTTAAAAGAAAAAATAATTAAATCTAATCAGCAGACTAGTCCATCCCAGCTTGAAGAAGATGCTAGATACCTTGAGATTAATTTAACCTGACCACCAGATTCCCAAAGCAGAAAAGCCTTTATTCCCCAGTATCTTCCCACTTGGTCCCAATTCCTCAGCATGGCAGCACAGCATCCCTCTGCCCAGTGAAGTGGGGTACAGCTTGCCTAGTACCTTCAGGATGGTTAGGAGGTACCAGGTTTCCTCTCCATGTTGAAGCTCCTTGTTTTTTCACACAAGGATGTGTGAGCCTATGCCCCAATTGACCTCTCCTG